AAAAAAACCGTCCAATCTATATACCACCAATTTACCAGAATTATTACAGGTATTGTTGAAAATATAAGCATGGGTATTACTGCAGGATATGGTACCGAACATTTAGACGACTTCAGCTATCTTAAAAAGAAACACTAAAATTCTTTAAAAAGAGGACAAATCATTTTTCTAATAGATATTTTCTGTTTTTAAGTTTTTGTTACTTACAATAGGTATATCATTATTTTAAATGTTAAAGGTTTTATGTAATACAGGTGCAAGCCACATTTTTTGAGTAGGTATATGTTGTTTTTTTTTTTGTGAAAAAATTTACTTTTAATTTAAACTTTTTTAAATATTGTAAGAGAAGAAATATATTTCTTAATAGTATAATTAATATTATCTTTAATATATATTTGGTATTCCAGGATTTAATTAAAACCTATATAGTTGATTTTCTCAAAAACTTTCTGAAAGACCCACTGTCCTACAAGAAACCAAAGAGGAATCAGAAACACCAATTACTCTTTAAAAGCCAAAGACAAAAGCATTGACTTTTTATTAATAAGGGGGAGAAAATATTAACCTTAAATTAGCTGAGGTTCACCGACTCCACCGCTCACAGGCAGCTACGCTGCACTTTATAGGCAACTTATTAATTAGGTTTTTAGATGTCAAAGACCACTCTTAGCTGTTACTTTGTCACAGTAAAAGTCATTTTTGAAATAATGTAACATTGTATTAATTAACTCACAACAAATAAAGCTTTTTAATAAGTTGAATAAATAATTTATGGTACTTATTACATAGTGATTTTATTCCACACTGGTTAGAAATTACAAATACTCATTCAATATAAATAGGAAAAACAGTAGTAATTAGAATATTTAAGGTATATACTGGTGTAAGAAATTTTTCGTTACCATTTAAAAATATTTGTTAATTATGAAATATCACGCTTTTCCACTACGACTAAAGAGGGCAGAAGACTCGACTTTTTGTGGAATCAATAACCGAGTTGGTTGTGTCTACTTCACAGTAACCAGCAGAATAAAATCAGCAAGATCTAGCAAACAAATCTTGATGTTTCGTTTGTATATAACTTGTGTATTATTAAATTAAGATGTAAACATCTACCAGAAGTGCTGGTGCATAGGAATATGGATCATTATGCTAAATATCCCGTATCTGGTGTATGTGAAATATATTTAAAATAAAAACAATCACTATTTCCATTTCACAGTATTGATATTAAAAGAAAAGCAAACTGTAAATTTAATTAAAGAAATATGTATTTTATACTTAAACCTAAGTAAACTTAACCATTAAACTTGACTGTGATCGATATTTCCCATCCTTTGTCGATATTACCCGTCTTGAGGGGGTAACTTGGAGGGGATACGAGAAACGATCGTGCCCGTGAAGCAACGAAACCTTATTAGCACATTTCGTAAGTACTGGCGTTGAAGAAAAGGGATTTCACACATGTTGTATTATGAATTGTAAAAATAGGATAAAGAATAGTCAATTTTTTTACTGGGTTTAATGTGTCGACAGATAGTGTCAATGACTTACTGTGTTATATGACACAATTGTGTTGACACACTGAGTTGGTACAATAAACTGCGTCAGTGTTGCTGTATCAACACCCAAAAATTGAGTGTGTTACCCATCGTTAGTCGACAACTAATGGTCATTGGCATGGTACAGTGAATTTTTACAGTCAGGTACCTAGTGTAGTGTGTGTGTGTGTGTGTGTGTGTGTGTGTGTGTGTGTGTGTGTGTGTGTGTGTGTAGAGTAATTGTCTTGATACTTAGCAAAGTCGACGTCATTGACTTTGCTAAGAGACGCTAATTGTATGCGAACGTCTTCGGTCCCTCCGGTGAGTACCGATCGCACAAGGGTAGAAATTATTTTCATTCAATAATTTTTAATAAACGAAAATTTCTCCACCCATGGGAGATTAGAACTCACGACCTTTAGGTTCAAAGGTAGGCGCTCTTAGCACTGAGCCACAGAGGGGATTAATAGTCAATTTAAATTCTACTCGTTTTCAAATTCCTCTTCTTGACTAGCTTTACAACTCGTTACAACCCCAAATTTTTAGCAAACATTAATGCAATGAGAAAAGTGCATTTTTGAAATATAGATTACAATAATGTGTGATTATTATTGTGTGATATTGTAACCAAAATATTATTTTGCCTACCACAGGGGACATTAATACGGGAGATAGAAAATTGGGGGAATAAACTATTGGGCGTGGAGATAAGGCAAGCAAAATAATCGCTACTTGTGCGAACGGCACTCAGGGTTTCGTAGGAGAGCTGGGGTCGTGGATAAGTAAAAAATAAGGGCATTGGAATGGGGCAACTACAAAAAAATGAGATAAAGGGCTCTTGGGATAAACAAAATAAAAATAAACAAGAAACACCTCAAGGAATTTAATATAGGGCGCCACTTGAGGTGCCTAATTATGCCTATTACAACCACTAGTTGTAACTAGGGAAATAAATAGAAAATAAAATCAAAACATAAAAAAAACATATCTTTTTCAAATAAACTCAATAAAGGGTTAGCTCAAAAAAAAATAAAATGTTAAGACAACAAAATTTAACATTTATTTATGTACCACCACAAACAGTTACATGGAGAAATACAAAATTCAAAAACTTACATGTGTCATCCATTAACAAACTCCATTGCTACAAAACTTACAAAATTGCATGGAGGTTAACCTTTAAAAAAAAAAACAAAACAAATTAACATCAAAAATACTAAAACGAGCTGTGATAAATTAACATTAAATTTCAAAAAAAAACTAAACACAAATTGACAGCTTTACTCAAAACCTAAAATTTACAATTTTAAATGTAACGAAAGCAATTATTATTTCATAAAAAAAATTGTCTGTCTTTAGTTTAAAATTTGAACAAAATGTTACCTTAATTCACATGATCACACTTAAGTTTCTGAAACCATAACTGGAACCTGGAACTGAGGGCTCCACTCTCTCTGCATGACGAAAACCTCCATCTCCAAAACTGCCAAAAGCCTTGGATAAAAACAGGAACAAAAAAAAAACAAAACGAGGATGTCCTCCAATCCTCACTCAAAACATTAATAATTGAAGCATTTACTGCCACAAAACCAATAACAAACTGCTACATATTCTTCATAACAAAAGACGAAAACAGAACACTTTACAAATTCGACGTGAATTTGGACATAACGCTGAACCACTCTTGAAAGCTGCTCCAACGAGAGTGAAGAAATTCTATTAAAATTGAACGCATATATACAAACGCTGACATAACAAGACACCACGAAACGACGTACATATCCTTTTGCGACGCATTAAAATTGCGGCTTTTAATAAAACAAGAATTTGCCGAGGAAGTTAAAATAAATAAACAACTCTAAAATGGTTTATTTCAACTTGGCCGACCTAAGAAAGAAATGAAAAGATATTTGGGTTTAAATACGTACGAAATATTTTTAGATCTATCAAAAATATATAAGGTGATTTTAATATTTCGTATACGAGGGGACTTCAATATACTTCAAAGAATCAATGAAATTGAAAATGCTACAATATAAACAAGTTAAGTCGTTTTATTTGTAGTTTTGTAAAAACTTTGCTAATCTATGAATGTAGGTGCCACTTTTCCGAAATGTTTACCTTTTATAACCTCTATCTTTAATGTTTAAATGATAAAATGTAAACGTAAACGTATTTATCCATTTTTAAAATTAAAATACATTAAAAATTTTTTGAAGTTAAATATTGATATAAATTCCAATAAATATTATATTAAATAAACAAGTTTAGGTCAGTTCATTTGCAGTTTACAAACGAGTATTATATTAAAAGTGCTAATAATTTCGCTGATCTATGACACTAGGTGACGGTCTTACGAACTTGCACATAGCGAATAGAGAATTAACCGGTTGTCTTATATAACTGAATCTCGGGTCTATAATAGGTCTATTATAGGTCAATTTTGAGTTTTTTGTCATATTTTAGTCAATTTCAAAATAATTACACTGAAGATCATTGGAAAAATTTAAAAAATGTTTTGAAATATTTAAAATTTACAGACTATTATATTTTGAGACTTTTAGAAGTAGAAATAGAGAAACCTAGTCATAGAGTAGAGATAGATTCCTATGTTGATGCAGAATTTATTGATATACCTAATAATGTTTCAGCTTTTCTTACATGGGTTTAATAATTAATAATGGGAACAACGTCAATTAAGATATACAAGCACAGATTATTCGCGGTTATTAATAATGTGATTTAATACAGAAAAATACTGAATAAAATGCAAATTACTGAGTCAATTGTCAATGGACATTTGTCCTCCATATTATAGAACTTGATTTTTAATTATTTTGTATTTGCACCCTGTGCGTCTCTTTTCTTTTGTGTTCATTTTGAACGTCTGTCGTGAATCTTTCTCAGTATTCCTTCTTGTATGGTTCTATGGTTCCACATAGCTAATGTGATCTTCCTTCGAGTGTTTTCGTGTTTCAATATGTCAAGATTCATCTCTTCACACTCAGTTTTTACTATTTTCATCTATTTTCTCTTCTATTCTATTTTTAAATATTACTGTTGAATTCTATGTTCTATTCAACTTAGATTCAGACACTATATTAAACTTCTTTATATATTCTTGTTCTATTTAGCTAGGAATGGTAAGAATTTATTTAATAACTTTAATTATGTTCCGAGATTTATTTATGTTTTTCAGTAAAATAAAGTTCACTCTTTTTTCTGTATTTATATTTGACTTCGACATATTTATTGACAATTTTAATCAAATTCTTTCGATTTTTCTTTCATTTTTTATATTTTTAACACACCTGTAATCATTAAAAGAAATTTTAACGGGGGCGGTTTACTAGCCACTGCCAATTTTCCCGTTCTCCCTGGAAGATGTTAAAACTATTGCTACAGGTGAGTCCCTTACTAATCTCGGAAAGCTTTAATTAAACAAAATGATATTTTTAGCTATGTGTACTGATCTTCGCAGCTAGCTACGTAGATAATAGGGTAATAAATAAAAGGAGTACAGATAGTTCCATTAAAGGATACTTGACTGAGGTGAGTGAGTATATGTGTGTATGTACCTGTAAGTTGGAATAGTTTAGTAAAATGTGTTTGTTTAAAGATAAACAGAGCATTACCTGCTAGTTAGTAGATAACTATTCATTTGTTTTGTAAATATATTATAAATAGCTAATCATATCACTAATGTTTTCTATGTACAAATATAAAAAATGATAAGTTTTATACAAACAGGTTTGTAATTTATCTTTCATGTCTCATATATATATTTATACAGTAAAACCTTCCAATAATGACCACTTTTGAGGAATCAAAAGCTGATTGCTAAAGAGGATAGGTTTTTTATGAGAAAACATAGGAAAATGAAAGCAACTGGTTTGCATTTTACGTTGTTTATTCTTTCACCCCTTCGTTTTACCTCATTAGGGTGTCGGATTTTGGCAAGATATTTTAATTTTCATCCATCTCTTTAATTCATTTATGTTGCCATTATTAACAATTCCTCGAGTATGATTTTTGATTAAATTTTCCCGCCTCTACTACTTGCTATTACTACTTTTCTTGTAATTCTGTCGGGTTGTATCTTGTATTCTCATCAGAACCCCAAACCAGTTCATTTGTCTTTTTGCTATTTTATTCATTACTGGTTCTTGGTTGGCCATTCTTCTGATAGCCTCATTGCTTAGTCTATCCTTCTTAGGCGTCTCATCTCAATTACATTTATCCTGCTTTTATATTTTTCCACAATTATCCAGTGTTCATTTGCATAGGGTACAGTCGGTGTCACTTTTGTGTAATATATTTTTATTCTGGTCTCTCGTGTAAGTATAGTCTTACGCATAATATAACTTGTTTAATTTTTTTGCCCTATTTGTTATTTCCAAATTTATTTTTCTGTCGTCAGTAATTATTCTTCTCAGATATTTGCAAGTTGTAACTATTTCCAATTCTGAATTTTTACAATTTATCCTTATTTCATTATCTTCTTTATCTTCTTTGTCTCTGATTATAATTTTCTTAACTTTTCTTACTTTTTCATTGTTTATTTTCATTTTAAGTTCTTCTATTAGTTCCACCAATATGTCCATTAGATTCTGCAGTTTATTTTTGGAGTTTGTTATTAGTACTATGTTAAGGATACGTTAAGGACTCTATTGTTACCGGTTGTAATCTATGGTATCCCATTTCATCCTATATCAGAACTATCCGACGTTGACGATCACCATTCCGAAGGCTTCTTGATCTTCTGCAATATGAAATAATTGTCCTGCATTTGGTATCTGAGTCCATTCACGAATGTTTTTTAACCAAGAAACTTGTTTTCTTCCTACACCTCTACGGCCCTCTATTTTGCCTTTAAGGATCAGTTGTAAAATTTTATATCGACTTCCCCTTACTGTATGTCCCAGATAAGACATTTTTCGATGTTTAACAGTCTTTAGCAGTTCCCTGTCTTTGTTGAAGCTCCTTAGTACTTCTTCATTAGTTTTTTTTAATGTCCAAGGTATCTTCAGCATTCGTCTATAAACCCACATTTCCAATGCTTCAATTTTGTTCATGATCGATACTTTTGGCGTCCACACTTCTGCACTATACAAAAGTACAGACCAAACATAACACTTAACCATTCTTTGCCTTAGTTCTAAACTGGTTTAGGGTGGTTATTGCAAAGAAATTACTTTATTTTCATAAAAGTAGTTTTAGTCATTGCTATTCTACGTTTTATTTCTATGTCGGGATCTAGTTGGTCCGTTATCACAGTTCCCAAATATGTCATTTTGTTAACTTTCTCAACTTGGACTCCGGTTAATTGAAGCTTTGTATCGGGATGTGAGTCACGACTAAACACTAAATATTTGGTTTTGTTTGAGTTTATTTTAATGCCCATTTTCTCTCCTACGTCGTAAATACGATCAAGCAGAATTTTAAGACCTTCAATATTATCTGATAGAATTACTGTATCGTCTGCATATCTAATCACATTAAGTAGTTCCCCGTTGATTTTTATTCCATTTGGTTGTCTCTCAAGTGCCTTCAATTCGTTCATTAGTGTTATGAATAGCAAAGGGATAAGACTAACTCCTTGTTCAATACCTCTTTTCAATTAAATTCATTCAATCTTTCCTCTGTTGTTTGTATTCCTTATTTTACCTCTTTTTAAGTATTCTCTATAATTTTTATTAATGTATTCGGTACCTTTATACTGTTTTTGATTCCATACACTTTAGTTGCTATTTTTTTGACACTTCATTGTAGGTATTCCATCTTATTTTCATTGTCCATATTTCTTTTTGGCCCTCTATTTGTCTCAATCTTATGTTAATTTCCTTCTTGTGAAGTTCTCGTACACTTTTTAGTTTGAATTTACCTTCACTTTCTTGTACTCTTTTCTTTTCACCTCCTCCATTTTTTTATCCTCCAGTTTTGCAGTGACCATACTGTGTTGTGTGGACAATTCCGGTTCCTTTGCAGTTCAGGTGTTTTATATATTTTATTGTAGCCTTCTAGTATAGTATAGTCGATTAAGGTTTTCATGAACACCTCAAATGAACCATGATTTTTAAACTATATCTCTTCTGAACCCATAATTGGATTTCGATGATTTTTTACATTGTAGTTATATTTTTAATTCTTCTTCTTCTTCTAGTTCCATGACCGTTATCGATAATTGGATATCATGTTGGCTACCATATTCGCTATCGTGACTTCATTGACAGCAGCCCTAAATAACGATGTAGTTGATTTTCCATAATATTGCCTTAGATTTTTCAGCCATGATGTTCTTCTTCTACCAGGACCACGATTACATTGGATTTTTCCCTGAATGATCATATGTAAAAGATCATATTTTTCAGGGTGTCTCATAATGTGACCGAAGTATTCCAGGTTGCGTTTCTTTATTATATTGACCAGTTGTGTTGTTTAGTTCAGCCGTCTAAGGACCTCCTCATTTCTAAGTCTGTCGACCCAGCTTATTTTCAGTAGTCGTCTGTATACCCACATCTCAAAGGCTTTCAAGCGTTTAAGGATAGCCTCAGTTAGAGTCCACGCTTCCACTCCATACAGCAGGACAGGAAAGATGTAGCAAGATGTCATTCGAACCCTAAGGTCAATGATAAGATCGTCACTGCAAAGTACGTTTCTCATTTTTACAAAGGCAGCTCGGGCTTCTTCTATTCGGCTTTTAATTTCTGCGGTTGTATCCCAGCTCTCATTGATATTACTGCCGAGATACACGAGTTTCTCTACTCTGTCCAGTGTGGCATCTCCGACTTTTATACCGTCATTCTGTATATAATTTTGTTTGCTAGCTATCATATATTTAGTTTTCTTAACGTTGAGTTTTAATCCATATTGATCACAATTCTGTTTTATTTTGTTCATTAGATTTTGAAGGTCTTCTCAATAGTCTTTATACCTTAGTCATAAACCTGCGAAACTCTTGTAATAAGAAAAAGACAACCATAAAAATTGCTACATGGAATGTAAGGAGCTTATTCTCTTCGGGAAAATTAGATAAAGCCGTGTTGGTTATAGACATATTAGGCATGAGTGATACACAATGACCAGGAAATGAAAAATGTCCCACAAATAATCATGGAAGTGACACCACAACCCATCGATACGGAGTTGGAGTCATCATCTCAAAAAAATGGAAAGATGCTGTAGTAAACTTTACTCTATTCTCAGAGCGTGTGATGTTTATATGTGTGATAATACCTTAAACGAGGTGATGAGAACAACAAAGAGACAACATATTAACATAGTATCGGGCGATCTGAACGCCAAGGTAGGTCAGGGTAAAATTGGAGAAAATGTCGGTGAATATGGCTAAGGTAATAGAAATAAAAGGGGTGACCAATAAGTTTAGTTTTGTCAAAGTGAAGATTTCATAATAACTAATACATTCTTTAAATTACCCCCAAGGCGACTGTATACATGGACGTCACCTCAACACACTTAAGAAAAAGTGATTAGCAACCAAATATATCCTAGTGACCTAGTGACCTAATAGTGACCTAGATATTTGATTTTGGCTGTTTTTATTGTTGTTAACAACTTTTTTCCTTTTTAGATTTTAAATAAAACGTCCTTGTTAGTGACGTGGACGGTATAGAATATCTTCAGGATTTTATGGGTACTGATAAATCATGGCATTTGAATTGCTCAGCCATTTTTTGAAATGCAGATCTTGCTTTCTCTATCCTACATTTTATTTCTAGAGAATAGTCCCAATTTTCATTGACGTTCATACCAAGGTACCTGTATGTTTTTAGTCTTTCTATTGGTTGACTCTTTACACTGATTCTTTGAATTTACTGTTACTTCTTAGTGATCATCATACATTTTATTTTCTTAATGTTTAGTAAAAGTCCATATCTCTAACTCACTTCTGTGATTCTATTCATTAACTCCGGGAGGGCGTCATAACTGTCAGTACCATTGTGTCATCCGCGTATCTTAGAGACCAATACGGAACCAAAAATAATACAGACGAAGAAAACATCACATGTAGCTCCTCAGAATCCGAATAATTTAAATGCTATGTTTTTATGTTTTGAAAAATTATGATGTTTTAGTCAAAATACTTTTTTTTGTACCTTAGTTAATAAATATTTTATTTTAGCCTGTTTTTCTGCAGTGGAAGATAAAATTTCACTCGCAGTTAAACTTAAAGAAATTCACTCAAAGTTAAACTTGAAGAAATTCTTACATTCTTAGTTTCAAGAAGTAAATATTTTTAAAAATCATATGACACACCTCAGTACGACCCTATTTGGTTTTCACGTACAATTGTTTACGGTTGGGAATATGTAATGTGAATGAACTGTATTCAAATAGAATTCGCAAATTAAAATTGCGAAAATTTCATTTTTTTTTAAAGGACTTGTACATAGCGATCTTTTTCTAAATGATAAATTTTATGTTTTAGAGAATATGTTGGTGGAACGAGATATGTAAAGAGGAATTCCGAAGCCAATTTCGCTGCAAGTGCCCGGAATGGTCTTATTGTCGAGCCCCCGGCAAATATTACAACGCTTTCTGTACCATGACCACGACTGGATATATTTGGCAACAGCCTGGATGGAGAGAAGCAGCTGAAAGCCAAAACTAGACACAAAAAAAACTACTTTACAGCCCACTTTAGAATTTTTAAGTCACAACTTTTTGACAAATATTCATTCTTTGTAAGAACACTTTATAGGTTCGGTTAATTTACTTTTGTTAACGCTAATTTGGAAATTTTATATATAATGCCATTTTTGTTTGATTTTTTTTATACTTTTTTGGATTGTAATGGATTTTCTTTGTGATTTAGCTCGCATTTATTAAAACATAGTCTAAAATTTGTAATTCCACAATTTTTTTGTGGTTGTTGAATTAAAAATGTTGTGTTAAATATGTTATTTGTTCCATTTTGGAAAAAATAACATATAAATGTACTAAATAATAAAAAATAAATATTTCTCTCTATAAAGCTAGTTTTTACGCCAAATGCTATTTATCATATTATAATAGATACTAGATCAGAAAATCCACAACAAAATTATTTTTTTTTAAGTTGAACCCACTTATTAGAATATTCCGGTTTAAGGAATAGAAATTTGAGGTATTTTAGGCCTGGGTTCTCTGACTATCATCTGTTCGTAGCATTTCTTGTATGTGTTCAGCTTGGTTGCTACCCCCAAGCGAGAAAAGTTTTATCCTGTGTTGTATTGTCTTTCCTATACTAACTGTTTGGCCCAAGAAGAAGAAGTTTCAATATAGTGTTCATTCAATATAATTTTAATTTAGTGTTATATGGGGATATTCGATTGTCTAGAGCAAGTTAAATGGCAGAAAAAAATAAAAACGTTTTGTTGATGGTTGATAACTGTTTTGCCCATAAACTTGACGTAAAGTTGAATAACGTAACAATCCATTACTTGCCTGGCAATACATCTTCACTTATTTAACCGATGGATCAAGGAATAATTTCTGCTTTTAAGAGAAATTATAGAAAAGAAAAAAATTTCAGTTCTCTCTGCTATTCATATGATGAATAGAAGTTGGTGAATTTCCAAAAATTGTATAAAAATTGTTTTATAATGTGCAAATTTTTTAACGAGACAGAAACTATATCACCTGTAAGAAAACCCAGAATTCCTCCAAATGGACGAAGATTTTTCAAGATTTGTGTCCTTTGACGATAATTTATCTGTTTTTGGTGCCAGATAAAGTCAGAAAAACGATAAGCACATTCAGATTTTGCTTCTTGTCTTCTTATTCATTTATAATGCTACAAACAATATGAGAAGCTATCTGTGTATCAAAACATCACTTGGTAAAGAAATATGTAGTCCCTATTCCTTAAAAATATTTGAGAAATTTTGAATTTATCTTGTACAAATTCGTAAGATTCTGCCAGAAAAAAATAAGTAATAAATATTATTGTTTATCTATCTTTCTCTATATATCCTAAATGTTTAAGACAATAAGCAATCAAATACTAATTATTATCTTTTAAATTTATGTAAATATTTTGAGTACCAACTATGTTTGTACGTCTAAGTTTCTAGATGTTAGTAAAGATATTTGCAAAATCGATACCTTGTAGTTTTATTAATGTGTAAATTTGCAAACCTTTATTTAAATATGAAGGCTGATGTCAAATTCCTTAATTATTATGGAGGTAAAGGAATGGAGGTAAAGGAACTAATAGATCCAAAACATATAGAAAAGGATACGTGGATTGGCTACCTAAAAATGCTCTGTGCAGAGGAAGAACAAACGACACTATGAGTTTATAATGAAATATCTTGTACAGATGCAATATTCGCTATAAATCAAATTACTGAGAAATCACTAGAGTATAATAAACCAGTATTTCTGTGTCTAATTGACCTAAACAAAGCGTTTGACAGAGTAAGACTTAAAGATTTAATTCATCTTCTGTATAATAGATAAGTTCCCCTAAATATTATAAAAACTATCGAAAACATCTACCAAAACAACAAAAGGGACGCCAGAATAGATGGACAACTTACAGAACCTATAGAAATAGACAGCGGAATAAGACAAGGGGATTCATTGAGCACCATACTTTACAATTTAATCATGCATGAAATTATCAAATGAATTAAAAAGGAAGAGGATACAGAATGGGAAACAAAGAAATAAAAATACTCTGTTACGCAGAAGACGCAATATTGATAGCCCAAGATGAAGATAGTCTGCAAAGACTGGTCCACAGATTTAACATAAGTGCAAAAGAAATTAATATGGCAATCTCATCTCAGAAAACTAAAACCATAGTAGTCAGCAAAGAACCAATCAGGTAAAAGAAATTGATGGCATCAGTATTTAACAAGTAATGGAAATACCTGGGAATTACACTGTCCACTAGTCATTTGTAACACTGTGTGGTATGACACTTTTAAGCTGATACTTTACGATGCATCATGTGTATTGACACCACGACAATAAAGTGTCATGATACAGTAACACAGTCGTAACACCCCGAGTGTTTCCGAGCAATGCAATTCACTGCAATAGTGCGATTTGATACAAGATACAACAAAAAGAGGCAGAACACAAATGGTGCGCGTTATAGTTTTCGAATCTTACCTAAACATTTCAACCTGTCTGATCTATTATCGCTTTGTTCTCAAAAAGGTTTTATTTGTGAAAAGATTAATTCTCTGTTAGCTATTTTAGGAGTTGTTAAATACTTTTACATATTATGGGTATATAAAATAGAGTATTTATGGACAATGGATTATTAGGAAATAGTGGATATCCAGTTCTTAACTACCACTGTAGAATCTTTAGACAGCAGTTCTAAGTTTTGTATAACCTATCACAAATTGCGTCAAGAATAATTGTGAATAACAGAGCTTTTAATATTTTAAAGAGATTTACCATTTTAACATGTGGAATGAGATGCAAGTTACCTTTTGTTCAAAGACTAATTACCAACAGGTTTTTCAGTTTTACCTAACATTGTAGTTAATAGCATTGTAGTTAATAGAAATACTAGCAGATGAGGGTGCTGTTGATATTTTAGTGTAATACTTTTGAATAAAAGCTTTTCGTTTATAAATTCTAATCTATAAGACATTCTTGTTCTTCTTAAAGTGCCCTCTCCTTAATGGAGGTTGGAGGTTGGCTACTACAATTTTAAACTCTTCTCTATCTTCAGCTGTTCTTATTAGCTGTTCAAAATTTAGCCCTGTCCATTGTCGGATGTTTCTGAGCCACGATAGTATTTTCCTTCCAGGCCTCTCTTTCCCTCTTAACCTATTTATATTGTTAATCGTTTATGTTGGATTACTGTTAAATGGAATGCGTAAGGACTTTATTCTACAATATCTGAACATGATATTTGTACATAAAAATTTATTGAAATTAGATACACCTTACACATCTGTAATGAAAATGTCAAATATAATAAACTTAATAAATGAGTTACAAATATATTCTATGTCTGATCTGATTATTAAACACTTAATTCTTCTTATACTTACACTTCAAAAAATTATTAAGAAATTACTTATATTTAAATTTCTTTTTACAAACTTTTGTAATATCTCGAGCTTCAATAAAAATGTTCTTTTTAAAATTGATTTGGGTCAAAACATTAATTTGGGATCAATTCAAGTGAGTGGCCCATAAAAAATAATCTAAATAACTGATTATATCCTTAAAAAACGACAATATTTTGCTAAACCATCGAAATACGGGCAGATATTGTAACAGATGAAGAAGCTGTAACATCTGTTTTGCGTTTACTTAATAGCTGTGCGAGACTTCAACGTTTTACTTTTTTCAATTATCTTATTCTAATTTTTATTATAGGATCCTATAATAGGTTCTTCTTCTTCATGTTCCATGTCCTTTCAGAACGTTGGTTACCATCATAGCTATTTTAATTGTATTCACTGCCACCCTAAATAGCATGCTTGTATCTACACCATACCAATCTCGCAAGTTCTTCAACCATGAGGTTCTTCTTCGTACTGGACTGCGTTTGCCTGCTATTTTTCCTTGCATGATATTTTGTAGCAATCTATATTTGGGGCTTCTCATTACATGTCCGAAATATTCCAGCTTTCTCTGCTTGATGCTTTTTATGATCTCAGTAGTCTTGCTGAGACGTTCTAGTAATGTGGAGTTACGAATCTTCTCCACCCAGGAAACTTTTAAAATTCTTCTATAGCACCACATTTCGAAAGCCTCAAGGCGATTTAGATCGATTTTATTCACAGTCCAGGAATCGACAGCATAAAGTAAGACCGAGAACACGTAGCAGCGAAGTAGGCGGATCCTTAATGCCAATTTTAGGTCTCTGTTACATAACACCTTGGACATCCTTCTAAAAGCAGCTCTAGCCTGCTCTATTCTGGACCTAATTTCGCCGTGATTTTCTGCATTACAATTTAATTGCTGTCCAAGGTAGACGATTTTATCAACTTGCTCAAGTTTGGTATTATTTACATATATAGACGGTTTTATATTCTGTTGTTTACTTATTACAAGTATTTTGGTTTTCCTTATGTTAAGATCCAGACCTGCCTCCCTACAACTCTCAACGACACTATCAAGTAGTGTTTGCAGATCTTCTTGACTAGAAGCTAGGAGTACTGTATCGTCCGCATATCGCAAATTATTGATGACTTCGCCGTTCACAAGTATTCCTTCTTGTTTTTCAGAAAGTGCTATAATAGGTAACAAATACAAATTATAGTTTATAGATTATTTTTATATATACAAAAATCTTTATTGTCATTTGTCAAAATAAAAGAATAAAATCTGTGTTTGCAATAATTCTCTATTGACGACATACGCAGGTTTAAAACTTTCAAGTAGTGTCAATGGCTTGCTGTGTTATATGACACAAAAGTGTTGACACACTGAGTTAATACAATAAGCTGCGCTAGTAATGCTGCCCAAAAATTTAGTGTGTTACCCATGGTTACTGTCTAGATATGGAGACCTGGACAAATAAGTGAGAGATCAAGTACAAAAAGCAAATAGACTGGCAGGATGCCTTAATAACACTATATGACGAAACAGACACATTTACACTGAGATAAAGTCAAGAATTTATAAAGCCAGTGTAAGACCAATAATGAC